AAATTTTAAAATGTTCATAATTTTCGAAAATACATCTATTAGTATGTATACATGGCTGCGGGAACCTTTGATTAAGAATTCCTGATTTACAATTTTTTTTTTTTTTGGGGGGGGGGGCTTTTGTAATTGCTTCAGATTTTCCCTTTTTTTCAACTTAATGCGTCCAGAAACTGAAGTTTTATTAGGCTGTGACTTGTGTCATGCCTCTGTTTTTCTTCATTTCCTTTTATTTTATGGTTACTTATAGCATAATATAGCTCATCTATTCCTAAGATGAATGGAATTTGGAAATAGATTAAAAGAAATAAATTTATTTAATATGAATATCATTTAGAGTTTTAAGTAGCAAATTTTCTTTGGTATATAGCAGGGTTGGCTAAACTTCATGTCAGTAAGAGCCGCACGTTTGAATTCAGGAATGTTCGAGAGCCGCATCTAGATTTTCTAAAAGCCACAAGTTCGTATTTACATCATTATAGAAGCAGTGGAGGAGGTTTTAAATAGAAAGAAATCCCGGATAACTTTGTAAAAAGAGTCTAAACTAATTAACTACTTCCTTTCGGAAAGTGAATAGTTTTAGTTTACCATATTTCATACATATATTTTACATGCATCAGTCGAATAAATTGCCTGCGAGAGCCGTATCAGGCTCGCAAGCCGCACTTTGTCCACCCCTGGTATATACACTCATGTCCATAAATTAAGGATAATTCGGAGTCACGCGGAAATCGAACTCTAAAATAAATATATCACCTGTAAACTCACTACACACATCTACAAGAATCATATGCAAATTTCAGGAAGTAACCAGATAAAACCGATGGTACGTCACAATGACGAGAGTGTAAGAGAGTGATATATAAGGAATACAGGCAAAGAAGTAAAATTGTTCGCAGGCGCTTTATAAGCATTTCAGTGCAATAACCGAATAGTTATGACATAAAGGACGCATTTGGAAGATTTTTTACGTGGTAGAATTATCGGCCGTCTGGAATGTGGGCGTACCCAACTGGAAGTATCAGACGGACTTGGAATTGCCCAGAGTGTCATCTCCAGGCTTTGGCAACGGTTCAAAGATGATGGTAATGCGAGTAGACGTTACAGCACAGGTCACCCCAGAGTTACAACGCCGAATGAGGACCGGTATTTGGCAGTAAATGCCAAAAGAAACAGGCGGAGCCAAGCCTCAGACCTGTCTCGTCAGCTCTCTTCAGCCACTGGCACGACAATTTCAAGGCAGACCGTGTACAGACGCTTAGGGCAGATTCGTCTATATGCTCGTAGACCTGTCAGATGCGTTCCACTTACTGCAACTCACTGTTGCCTGCGGTTAGCCTGGAGTAGAGAGTATGCATTGTGTACACCGCAACAGTCGCTTGTGTGATGTTTTCTGACGAGTCCAGGTTTAGCTTGCACACTGATTCTCGCCGGACTTTCATATGGAGAGCTCCAGGTACCCGTTGCCACCAAGAAAACATCATTGAACGACACCGTTACGGTGGTGCAGGAGTGCTCGTTTGGGGTGGAATTATTCTGGGTTCCAGAACTGGCATGCATGTTCAAATTGGAACCATGACAAGCCAAATCTATCGGGACGTTATTCTGGAACAACATGTACGTTTGTTTCGGGGCGCCATGGGCGCACAATTTGTGTTTATGGATGACAACGCGTCCTCACCGTGAAAACATCGTAGGCGAATGCCTTCAATCGGAGAATATCACCCGTATGGACTGGCCAGCATTCTCACCGGACTTGAATCCAGTAGAGCACGTGTGGGACATGCTTGGCCGACGAGTTGCAGCCCGTCAACCTCATCCTACATGTCTACCGGAACTTCGGAGAGCATTGCTTTTTGAGTGGTGTAATGTCCCCCAAGATCAGATCTATAATTTGATACTCAGCATGCCTAGGCGTTGTACGGACTGTATTGCATCGTCTCGGATCGGAGACATACAAGGTATTAACAATCATACCAACCATGTAATATTGTTTTTTTTTTTTTTTTTTTTTTTTTTTTTTTTTGTAATTTGCTCCAGGGAGAAAAAATCGCTAATTTTTTTAATAATATCAAACATATAGCAGCTTTTTTTGCTCTTTACCTTTTGTTTAATAAATAAGCTTTACAAATAAGTTAAATTTGTTTTGCTTCTAACTCTTCCTTTGCCTGATTTTGCATTATCCTTAATTTATGGAATGAGTGTAGCATGCTAATGTATCTTTTAAGATTTACAGTTTGCGTTAGTAGTCCACAGCGGCTAGGAAACGAAGAGCTTCACTTTACACATATTAGGTTAATTAAACATGTAACCGAGCGAGATTTTTTAAGAAAAACTGACTTGTATCTATAACATACATGGGGAAAGCTATAAAGCTTATCTTTATGGAGAAAACCATAATAGCTTCTCTTTAGCCAGCCAATTCATCGGGATTTGAGATCAAGCTCGAACATACCACTGTTTAACATCTTTACTACTCGACATCTGACGTGTTTACTTTTAGTAGAAAAACAGCATCTAGTTTTTAATAAGTAACATATCTATGAGTTTTAGCATAGTCATATTTATTTTATTAGTAATAAATTGATTATAACTCTCTGTATCTTTACTTCTTACAATTTGCTTTAATAATAGCTAGAAAAAATATCTTTCCATTAAAATCATTGAAATTTCTCTTTCAGGATGCAAATTTAAAATAATTTATTAGTATTGATTAATTATTTTATAATAATAAAAGAAAAATCTGAAAGTTTCAGATTTTATATTACCCCAAAAGGTTTTTAACATTTTGTGTGCTACTTTTATGTATTAAATGTCATTTTCTTGGCACTTAAACCATAAAATTCAATTCAACAGCAATATCGCAAAATAATTTAAAAAGACCATACATATCTTTAGAATTTCCGATACACAGTCTCTTGTGCCGGAGAGAAAAATGTTTATTCTCCGTACAAATGCTTGCTTTGAAATCGTTGAGCTTCTTAACCAAAAACTCATAAATTCTTTACAAATTATGAAATAGATAATAAAACAAATTCCTAATTCGGGCTTCCAGATGCCCATGTTCGGGTGGAGACGAATATGGGCATCAGACGTTATATATAGACGTTATTCAAAATTTGACTCTAGGTACCGTTGTTTTATTACAATGTGAGAAACATGCATATATATATGCAGATTCTTCATTATTTAATTTGTTTAAATATAATACAGGGAGATAATATTTGGAGGCAACAATTTGAAAAGTGATTCATACTTTCAAAGTTTTCAACGGAAAATGCCAAAACGAAATTAATAGCCCTTCTGAGCTAATAATATTTCATAATAATAAAAGTAATTAATAATAATAATATTTAATACTAATATTAATAATGGTTAATACTTAAATAATTTATTGATTAATAATACTTTGTAATTAATTAGTTATTTAATAATAATGAATAGAAACTTCTTTACTAATAATTAATAATTCATTAGTTATTTAATCATAATTAATAGAACTTCTTATACTAATAATTAATTATTTAATAATAATAATAATAATGTTATTTATAATTAATTATTGATTAAAATATTTTCTTTGTCATGATTATACTTGAAATGCAGTTCAGCTACTCATTTACGTTAAGCCCTAAAACATGTGCTTCATTTATTGAGAAATTAAGTTAGATTTAAATGGCTGAAAATGGCATTTAAAATGTCTCGTATTTTAGTATTCGTAGTATACGTATTTCTGAAACAGAATGACATCACTTAAAATAACTTCAGATTTATACTAAAATCTTCGATAATATAAAATTGTGGGTTCTCACTTACCGTGTTATGTCTTTAATTAAAATTATCATTATTATGTAATTTTGCCAAAAGTTTTATTTTACTTTGTTAAATCCATTACAGTTGCTATTACTTTTAAGAAGTAGAGAAAAATAGTTTTAGTAGCTGTGAAGCTGTTTAAAGTTAACATCTCGTCAATCATTATTCCATGTGATTAATTTAAAATATCTCCTAAAAATGAACGCCATGAATTTTTATAAAGCTAATTCTAAAACTCTGAGAGGCTCTTCAGAAAAATATATCAGTTAATTTGAAACAAAAAGCGTGATTTTTAGCTAAAAGCCATAAATTAAAACTGTTGACCTTCAGCACCCTAATAAATCTATATGCTAATAGATCGAATTCATTCAAAATTCCTATATTATTTCTTTACCTAGCAACAAAAATTCATTCAGTGTTGTTAAAGGGGGAAGTCATTATTTTAATGATCACTACAAACACATTTAATTGCGCATTTGTAGTATGAATTAAAGGTATTTTTATATCACCATTAAAATAAACATTTCTGTTTCGTTCAGTTTTATTACTAAAATGGCTTTACAAAATGTTTTTTGTGCTTTTATTATTAATGCTTTGTTCTTTGCTTTATTTATTAAATATCACATTCTTGGGGTTTACACTACATAAAATTCAATTTAATTTCAAAATCACAAAATATTTTAAAATAGCATATCTTGAGAACTTCCAGTAGATAGTCTCGCGCGCTGGAGCTAAAATAGTTTTGCTCCTTACAATGTTGTCATTGCACTCTTTGAAATCGTTGAATTTGTTAATTAAAAATCCATTAACGTTTTCCAAAATATGAAATAGGTAATAAAACAAATTCGAAATTCAAATTCGCATTTCCAAGTGGAGGAGTACATCATTCAAAATTTGATGGTTGTAGGTTCGTTTGTTTTCTCACAGTGCGAGAAACATACATACATTCATGCAGATTCTTTATTATTTAAATACAATACTGGGCGATAATACTTGCTGGCAACAATTTAAAAAGTTATATAACGCTTTTAAGTTTTTTGACGAAAAATGACGTTTCGAAATTAATATACCATTTAGGACTAACATGTTTTTGAGCTAATGTTGTAAGCAATAAAATCTGAGATAATAAAATTGAATCCGAATCATTTTGATTTCAAGAAAGCTATCAGGTAGAAATAAAACAATATTCATTTTCAAATGGAATGTTACACTTTTATTTAACATCGTAGGAACTTACATTCTGTGGTGAAGCAAGTACTTTTCCTATAATTTCGTTAACCAGAAATGATGAAAGAATTACACGATGAGATATAATTAGCACAATTCACATATATCATACATTGATTGGAAAACAACACAATTTGAAAATCACAAAACTTCGATAAGCTTTTAAAAATATATTTACAAATTAAGTGATCATATCACTTGGCACTCAAGGTCCATCCACAACAATGTTATTGGTATTCTTGTCGACCTTTTCAGCTTCACCTTCTCCACTCTGACTAGCAGGTTGGCATCCGCTCTGGTGAACATTTTCCAGAGGATTGGAGTCGACTCCCATCTCTTTAATCACATTTTTGGTGCTCGTGAGAACATCAGCACTAGGCTTGGGGTCACGAGCCCAAATGTCAATATTTTGGATACTGCCGAAGAGCACTGGATCACAGCCCCATACTACTGCGTAGTTATCATAATCAGTGTTGACGACTCCGAAAGTACTCAAAGCAAAATGGGCTGTTTCAAGCAATAAAAATATATTATTTTTTTAATTTATTAATCATAATAAATAATTTCTTAACTATGAAACAATTCACATTAAGGGTAATTTCTTGAAACTATAACACTTTGTTTTAGAACGATTGACTTGCAAACAAACATGTCAAGTTCAATACATAATTTATTCCTAAACATTTTCATACATATCATTCATGGTTGTGATAAGCACTCCACAATTCTATATATTCTGATCCCATTTTTTATAATAGAGAATATAGCTAAATGAAGAGATATGAACTAGCCAAGCAAGGGCAAGTAGAAAAAGTGAAGCGTACACCAGGTTAAAACGATGTCAACAATAGAGTGCCTAGGCCCAATGCCTTAAGCTTTGTAGAACATAGCTGAAAGTTCCTAATTACATTCTCACTAATAGCTGGTCAAAAGCTCTAAGTACTATAAGCAGGAGAGGAATAATTATCCAGAATTATGATTCAAAAGATCTGCACTCTTACAAACGTTTTTGAAAAATTAAAAGTCACTAGAATCATGAGAAAACCATAACACACATAATGGGCAATAAGCTGCAAGATGTAGTACACAAGAAAAAGGACAGTACGAACTGAATGGTGTCAAAGCGATCAAAACAAAAGGTAACAAAACCAAGCATATGTCTACATTTAAACTATATAGTAAATGCAAAAACATCTTAATTGGCAGCATTAAACACATATTCGAATTTTGGACAATTTATCTATGGAATTATCTGTTGCCTGGTTTCAGGGATTTTATCAGCAATTTCCCTAGAAGGTTTTTTTTTTTTTTTTTTTTTTTTTTTTTTTTGATATGCCATTAAACATTTTGTTCAATTTTTTCAATACAGAAAACACATCTTTAAGGACATTAAACGTTTCTCCCAAAATAGGTACTTCAGACTGATTTGAATTATTATGAGTGTTTCCAGGAACAAGTGCTATGTTTTTAAACTTGTCAGCACATAAAATGGCTGTAATAGCAGTTTCCATGCTTAAAATAGATTTAGGCTTACTTTCAGTATTTCTAGGTGCCAGGGAACTTATATTACTACTCTGTAACTTAGGGAATTTAGTGCAACCACGATAGTTCGCAGCGTGGCCGGTTTAACCACAATTACAACACTTCACAACATCTAACTTCTTATCTACACAATTATCTGATTTGTGAGTTCACCTTGGCTTGATGTTATAATATTCGGAGGAATGATTGAAGTGCTGACAACTGCGGCACTGAACAACACTACTTTAAACCTTATATGGAATGACAGACACGCCAAAGAACAATATTTTCGTTACATCATAAATCTGCTCCACACCAGGAACAAGTTTCAACTGAATTTGATGCAAAGGCATTGGTTTCTTAGTCTTAATCTCATACATCTGCGCCAAATTTTTAACAGTAAAAACAAAGTTCTGAACCCTTTCAGTGGCGGTGGTTTCGCCTTGAAACCGCATTTTCAACATTTTTTTAATTTAGAAAATTTGGTTTCATTTTCTCAAAACCGCTGCTAAAATTAAATTACTTCTTAAAGCTGATAACAGATGGCAGCACCAAACCTTTTTGGGCATCCATTTATTGATACGAATCACTTCAAAAATAGCTTGTTTTAAAACAATCTTCTTTTTGAGCTATTTTTAGAAAGCAAGAAAACCAGCCATTTTTAATTTTTCCATAATATATTTTATAAGCAGGCATCAATGATTAATGTAATGTCCTTAGGTTCACCAAAAAAAAATAATGGAACCCTTTTAATTTTGAATGTTTTCAGTCGCGGTTTCAGTATGAAACCACCGCTCCGTGTCAGACATCGAATAAAGGATCAGATGACGCAGTCGCGTAGATTTTTTACAGCTGTGCTTATTGCTTTCAGAATCACTGCTGTAAACAGTTGCACCATATCTTCGTTTGAGTGGCTTCAAATATGAAGGATTTATGGAGGCTTTCGAAAGAGAGGAAAATCATTTATTATTTTTTCAGAGGCACAGAGCACACTGAAGAACACTCACAGTGCGTTTTTATTATGCTTCTCTTAGCGGTCGCTTTCTCATGCTTCTAGTTCATAGTAAATAATTGTATGCATCTTTATTTTATTTTTACATGTAATTTCTTAGTTTTTAACATAATTTTTAAAAATATTTCATAGTTTTATGTAAGTGATTTAGTGTATTATTAGTTACTTTTTGTCTCATACTCTTTCGTTTCCTGTTTTAAATTTTTTATTTATAATTAAAAATGTGTGTTTATGCAAATATTACTAACTTCATTAGTTGTTCAGTAATTTACTAGTATAATCTGCAATTTGGGTTACGCTCAGATACTTTTCAGCAAAGTAAAGATAAATAAGCAAATGTTTAGTCTTAAATGCTCTAGACGGGCGCTGGTTTCAAGGCGAAACCGGTCCCCTTTCCATAAAGGGGGACGAAAAAAAATTTTTTTAACTCATTTATGTTGTCTTTAGGACCATTGCATGTCATTATGCTTACTTTTTCATAACTTTTAAAAAAATCATAACATTGCGGCCCTGGCACTTAGAATATTTCATATCTAGCTGAACCTTAATGGACACGGTTTTAGGGTTGTGAACGTTCTCAACATTTACATTTGGACCCACGTGGATATCCAATGCACCACTGGCGTTGTTGTTACTTTTATCAAAGTCATTAAATAAGCAACTAAATTTAATCAGGAGCGGTAATTAAAAGTGGAGGGCACTTCAGCAAAGCCTATACATAAGATGGGAATTCTTTAAGTTTTTAAAGGGGAGTGGCCAAGAGCTCTACGCAGTGCAGATGACACGAATGCGATTAGTTTGCCATTTTTAGAATAGAGAGGCTAAGAAGCTCAATTAAAAAGAGGGATTATGGAGCTATTGGTAATTTCAATTGTAATTTATATTTACATATTTTTCATCTTGCAGATATGTACGCTTTGTATTTTGTTATCTGCACCTGAAAATCTAATTTATGTCTCCTGAAATCGCTTGAAGTTTCTTTGCAGCACTTACGAATGAAACAAAAGGAAATTTTACTAATAAAACACTACGGCTTACTAGAGACATGCGTGTGAGAGGAAATGTATCTGAAAATGTCACATGAACCACTAGTTTAATTGACTTTAATGAGTGGCATGTGCCTTTTGACTCACGTGACGTAGAGTTGCAATCAACATAACAATCAGATCGTTTGTGTTCTCTGTTTCTTGTTGTCATTAAACGATGTAAATTTCATGAACTTTAAGAAATAGTTTAAGACTTTGTGAACTTGTTATACCTTAGTTATATTTGTAAGAGAAGTAAAATACATATTGCTACGTTTATTATCTCACTCCTGACACCAGTTGTTACGTTATTTTCTTCCTTCACGTTCGTACGGGGTTCGTAGATTTGGAGTGAATAACGACGACACTTCATGAAGTATCTAAACACACTTTATTAGCCAGTATTGTCAGGACAGCTCCAAAACACGTTTTACAGTCGTCGAAGAACTACTATAAACACGCTGACACGATCAGCGACACAGCCTTCAGGTTATCTGGCTATCAACAGTGGAGACAGCTTCACAGTAAAGCACCCGACTCTGCTTTCCGGAGTACAGCTCCTGATTCTGCTCGGTCGTTCTTGGAACTCCACATGCTCTCGAGACTCTCCACGCTACAACTCGCGATGCACTCGACGACACACGAGCACAGCTCCCGACTCTTCGGTTCAGTCGTTCCCTGAGCTCAACACTCTCTCTCGACAATGCACTAACCGCGATATACTACAAGATTCTTGCGGTGCACTCGACGACCCACTCGGCACTCGCTGCCCGGCTGTCAACTCGATCCACTCCGCAGGGACTGACTCCCTAGACAGGACACACTTTCAATATTACTAACTGACTGCGGACCAGCAGGGTTATATAGCTTTCGGCCTGTGTTCGAGAACATTCTGCGCTACACCGGTAAGAACTCGTTTTAGAAGGTTCTCCAACCGTCCATGGTATTTCGACAATTTGGTCGCCAAATGGGCGATTTTTCGCCAAATGTGGCAACTTTGTCCTCTTTTGCCATTTTATGGCAACCCTAAAACTGCTTTGCGGGGAAGCTATCTCACCTCGCCTGTACATTTCGTAACAATATATTAATTTTTTATATAATATTTATTACAAAAAAAAATGTTATCTCACCTCGCCTGTACATTTCGTAACAATATATTTTTTTATTAAATCTTACAAAAAATGTGTACCGCTTATCAGTGGAATGTGTCGATTATTGCCGGCCAGACGCAAAAGTGTTCCATGACTCTGTCTGCCGTATCCTAGGGCCCGGGTTCAGTACGTTGCCCCCGAATTCTAAGAACATCAAGGAAGGGAAGGCTATTGTCAGATTCAATTTCAAACGTGATCTGGATGGATCAATCGAGTTTATAATAGATAAAATCTGAGATAAATATTCCTTATTAACATCAAAATAATTTGACCAAATAATTTGTCTCAAATAATTTGAGATTCTGTTAATTAATTGTCTCAAATAATTTGACCTGAAAATAGTGCAAATAAATATCAGCAAATACAGGACTACCCATACCTAATCTGTCAAGGATTAGCTATATTTTTGGTGAATAATTTTAATTTTATTCACACAAATTATATTCATCAAATATCAGTGTAGGCCATAGATAATTAGTGATGTCGTTCAATCTGAACAAATAAACGAAATATCAGTTATCAGAATCGAATAATTACTACTGCTACTTAATGTCAAAAGTCACTAAACAATAGAAACATGAGTAATATTAAATATAACTTACCGAAATTTCTGTCAACTCTGAATATAGAATTTGTATCGTTCCTTAGAAACTTCAACTTCCTTGCCTTCATGTACTGGTTGTTGAAACTGCAATGAAAACTCATATAGTTTAAAATTGAATTATTTCTTATTAAGTGATATTTCTATAATAATAACAACGTATAAATTTATATACTCTAAAGATTCTTCGTTATATATACATTTATACGTATATTATTCGTCATTTTAGTCGTTAAGGTATAAGGATTCGTTTAGTTTTACCAACCAATTATTTTATGTTAATTTTCTCTATTATCTTTCTCGTTTCTCATTTTCCCGCCAGAACGTAAATTTCTAGTTCGCGTGTATTCAAAAATGGTAGAAAGGGGATAGTATTTAAAGGAAGGTTTTAGATGATAGAATCAGAGCGTGTTCCACCTGCTGAAGGACACTTTTGTTAATTAATTCTGTTGAGGGCCGTAAGTAGTAAGCGCCCGTACTATGGCGCTGGTGTCGTCACTTCCGGAGAAATTCAAGATGGCGGAAGCCACGCCCCTTTTCTATGACGTCACTTCCGCCGGCTGAGTACGGGCGCTTAATACTGCCGTATTCGGAGGCGTTGCATTATTCTCGCACTTAGGTTAGTCACGCCGGCCATAGTTCAGAGGTAACTTGCGCGTTTTGTGGCTGTGTAGCCTTTCGACTAACTTAAGTTAACTCAATCAAAATTTAAAATTCGTTACTTTTCATTTAAGCCATAAATGCTGGTTGTTCTGTAAGCACAAGTAGTTACCATCTGTTAACTTGAGTTAAATAAAAGGGTTTGTTAAACCCTTTCTCAAACTTTGTGATACTTCAAAAGACATGGTGATAATTCACTTTAAGTTTTAGAGTCCTCGTCTGTGCTACCAAACGAAGACGAGACTCCAAAAAGTTTTTTTTTCGGGGGGGGGAATGGTTGTGTAGATAATGAACCTTAATATCCGTTTACTGGCAACTGAAACAAGAGACCTTTTTCTGTACTAAATTAGAAACTAAACTTTTCCTCTAACTTTTGTTCGGAAAGGGAGTTTTTTAACGACTGAAATAAACAACAGCCGAGCGCAAGATATAATCATGCTCATTAGATGCATGAAATAAGAACCACTTAGAAGGTATCTTATCTGCAAACAAATTACGTATCGCTATTGTTCTTATTTTTCCCTTCCTGGAAAAAAAATAAAAGCAATGATTAAGAAACTGAATAAATAGCTAAATAGCTAAGGCATGAATCATGTTCATCTAGACTTGCTTAGAAGATTTTCATTAGCTTTGGTTTTATGTATAATGATGGCAGTTTCATGAACTCTCGTTCATCATTCAATAGTCTCTTTATCAACCAAACTCTAATTAAAACTTTTCGTTTTAAGTTTGATTTTTAGCTCTGGTGTCCTAGTGACGTAAAAGCGTGTTGTATTTTGTATACCTACTTTATTTACCAAGTAAAACGTCCGTAATTTTTAAGTGAACAGAAATCAATAGTATTCGTGATGTTTTATTTTGTCCTTTCGAAACACAGCTATGTAATTTCAATACAAAACATAGATTTATGTTCACATAAAAACAAACATAGCATAAATACCTCATATTTTCTCCCATAGTGATAAAGTATTAATGATCGGAAAAAAGTATATTTTCCCCCCTTGCGTAAAGGAGAAAAATTTTAAATCACTTTGGGGCTATTTATATACTGTAATAGTCTTTAAGATGGCTGTGTCAGATTTTTTAAATTAATGTTGTTTGGTTCAAATTCATTCCACTTTTGAAATTAGTGTTAAAAGTATACTTAATTTTTAAAAAAAATCTGAAAGGTTTCATATTTTAAAGGTGGCCCAAAAGGGTTTGTTCAGGTTTCTTACGCTCTCGCTAAGTTCGACGTTTACAAGTCTGCTGTTGCCCTCACTTCTATTAATCATTTTTGTCTTTTTAGCTTTATTATTAAGCTTCGTTTTCTTCATACTTACGCCATATACAATTCAATAGCATTTTTTTTTTTTTTTTTTTTTTTTTTTTTAAATTTTAAAAGTGTGGCATGTGCTTAGGATTCTAAATTAAGTGTTGGCAGGCATTTTTCCATTTTTTATGTCTTTTCTCAGTTGACCATATCAATGTACTCTTATTTTAGCAAGGTAGATTGCAGGCCCACCAGCGGCCGAGCGATAAAGACGCTGAACACTGGTAGTTCGGTCTGAGGTTCGAATCCCACGAACGGGCTGTCTGCATGGGCGTTTTCGTGGTTTTCCCTATGTGTAACGTGTATACGAGCCAGTTTCCCTTAGAAAGTCCTCCACGAAGGCATCCCCTCCCTTTAGGCAGATAGCCCTCGTGAGCTTTGCCATAATTGAATAATCCAATCCAAGGCAGATTGCAAAACATTTTTGTCCTTTTATTACTAACGACTTGTGTGTTAACTTTATTTATCACGTTCTTCGCACTTACACTGCATCATATTCAGTTTCCCAGTAAAGTAACAAAATATTTAAAAGCAGCATATCTTTAGAATTCCCTAGAGACAGGCTCGCGCACTGGAGTTAAAAATGCTTTATTCCTCGCAATTGTTGCCACTGTTCACTTTGAAATCGTTGAGTTCGTTAATCAAAAATTTAATAAAGTGCTCCGAAATGTACAATCCAATTTGGAAAAAAAGAGTCCTTTATTCTGTGCTTACGTACAGGTGTCACTCTAAATATCGTCTAAATGGATGCGAGAGTGCTCAAAATATATATTTTCGTTTAAATATAATACCCGAAAATTTTCACTTCACTTACTTCCTACAACGGAAGTTAAAAAACTGAAACATTTTGGCTTTCGGTGGCAATGATATTTTACTCGCAAAAGGCTTAATTCAGAAAATTCCGTTTAAAATTAACCATTTGCATAAGGCGTAAACTATTAAAAATTATTTGTGAATATTATCTTTTAATTATTATTATGTATTATTTCAGGTATTATAATATGATAATATTTGCATCATATTTTATTACAATGAAAATTGTACGTACCGTTTCTTCGTTTATTTAATTACATTAAAAGTTTTTTAACTATTTTTTAATTACCATAAATACAATTCACTATTTGCACATCAAAATTGCCTAGTGCACTTTAATGCGATCTACTGGCGAAAACTCTTTAGTAGTTAATGACCAGAAAAAAGTAAGTCATAAGTATCAAAGAATAATTGTTACGTTATATATTATGCCATATATTATATTAAATATAATAGCCTAAATTCATACGAATTACAATGTGCAAGGATGCAGAGTTCAGTAACATGAAGAACACTTTTAGTTTTATCTTGTATTAGTTTTATCTTGTAACTATGTAACCGTTCAGCAGTTCAACCAATCAGTAATTTTCTTTCAATGACAGGGTATACTAAATACTTTCTGTAAAATGTTATGCATTATAAAAAATGTAAAATATTTGTGGAGCAGGTAGGTCTCTATCTTAACTCGCATCACAATTTATCTGCGGATTTTTCAAAAGCGACGGTGAAACATTTTGAAATATTCCAGCAGAAATATGCCAGCTTTAACTGTAACGATTTACTATCCGATAAAAAAAATAATTAGAAATTCTTGTGCTCGATTTGTTTCCCAGCAACTTTTAATTAATCAGCTATTAATTAATACATATCGCTCTCCCGTTTTCTGAGATCCATTATAAGTAGCTATAATTTATTACTTTAAGTTGTAAAAACTCTCAACTTGGTTTCAGTGTAATGAAATTGGTTTTCAATTATCCTGTAAAGTTTTACGTACATTAAATTGGATACTTCATTCTTAAAAACTAAAGTTTTGGGGTTAAAAATTAATTAAAATCATGATTACCCTACTTGAAAAATTAATTTCCATGCATTACTCCAATTCTGTAGGAAACATTTAATTCTACTGCATATAAAATTGCTCACTAATAACAATAATTAATTTTCCAACTCTTTCTTTAATCTAACAAAATTTAAGGTTATTAAGGCATACTACATTTAGTTTTCTTTTTCTTTTCTTTAAGTGCAGAATCGTCCATTTGTTTGGCGCGTTGTGTTAGGAGCTTTTTACGAGATTGATAAGTGCGCCAAATGTGGTAACCAAATGTGGTGCGTAAATGTGGTAAGTCGATTTTGCCAAAGTCGCCAAAGTTGCCAAAGTCGATTGGTGTAAACGATAATAGATGGTAGAGGTGCAGTTATTTTAAACAATAATTCGAAAACATTTTGAGAATTCGGTACTTTTCGTTCATCGGCTGAGAGGAGTGGATTACCCCTTTTAGGTAAGTGAAGTATTAAATTTTCGGTTTGTAACGATTTTAAGTTTTGAAACTTACTATGTTTTGAAAACGATTCCGAGTTTTTCAAAAGTATGTTTGTAGGACTGATTTCAATTTTAAAATTTTTTGGAAGGAAAATATTTTTCAGGGTTTGTAAGGATTTTGTTCTTTAATTACTTGTTTGAAACGATTTCAGTTTTAAAGTTATTAGGGTTTTTGAAAGGATTCCAGTTTAAAAATTTCCCACTTATTTGTTTGCCGCTTTTTACAAGAGTAAGAAGAATTGGATTTTTGTCAATTTTCTTTGACTTTTTAAGTGAAAATAGTTCGATGTGTGCATGGATAAAGTTAAGAGAGTGCGCAATGCCATTTTTGTGCAATTCTGGGATTTTATTTAAGTAGGTCGATGTGTACATGGATAAAGTCAAGGGAGTGCGCGATGTCATTTTTGTGCAATTCTGGGATACTTTTTTAAGTGAAAGTAGGTCGATGTGTACATGGATACCGAGTTTTTAAAATTCTTAAAAACGCCTCAAGCAGTGGGTGATTCTGCACTTTCCCCAATGTTTTTATAGGTGAATGAATTTAAATTCTTCAGGGTTTTGTAACGAAAGTTTTTTAAGCTTACTATGATTTCTTAACCATGTTTGTTTTTTAAAGTATTATGCTGTTTTTAATGAATTTTCGGTTTTCAAAAATTTGCTTCAACTTTTATTTTGTATTTATTTTGCCTGTTCGCCATTGTAAATGTCGCGCCTTGTGTAGTGTTATTTGGAGGGGTTGCAAATCCAGGAGACAAGACGTGAGAGCGCGCCAAGTTGGTGATTTTGAAAAACGCGCTAAGCAGTTGGGCGATTCTGCACTTTTTTCTATTATCATTCCATTTTTTCTCGAATAGCTTTTAAATGCTCAATGTAAAGTTTATTTTTTAACAATAATTTTTTCCGTGCATAGATAAATTTAATAATCACATTATTTATGTGATAGATTTTCATATATGGAATTCTCTTCTTCAAAAATGTATGTTTATATTCAACTCAGTTTTTTTACTACCTTTAACCGACAGGAACCTTAGTATTTTATCCAACTCGATCCTGATTTCTAGAAGAAAGAAGCTTATAGCTGCATACCGCACGTCTTTCCTCCCTCCCCCCTCATATGTGATATATATGTTTTCCAGTTCTACTTGGAAAGCTGCCAGAAAAGCATCGCTTCTATGGTAAATGAATCGTTATGGCTTTATGCAAATGAACTGCCCATGACCACGACAACAGTTCACTACTGTTGTTATAACCATTTAGTAATATTCTTTCTAAGTATTTAAAATACTTCGATCTCTATACCACAATTATTTGTAAAAGGCAAGGCGAAGTGTAGATAATGAGCGTTTTACCACGAAAAGCCCACTCTGTGAGAACTAGAACGTAAGTTTCATAAGGCTTTCGAAGTAGGAACCATGTTAAAGAAGTTGTGTCCAAACGGGATTCAAACAACGGCTCTTCCAGTACCAGGTGGACATAATTGACTACTTACGCAACAAGAGTACACATCTGGAATGAAATAATTTCTTACAGTCTGCCCACTTAAATGGCGACTGGACAAAGCAAAAGTAATTACCTCTGGCAAAGTTAATAGTTTGTATTTTAAATGGTACTTACATATTAACGCAATCCCCTTTGCCGCAATTAGGCGATTTTTTTTTTGCGGTTGAAGGGGTAAAGTTACTTACCGAGGTAAGTTTTTAATTTTCGCGGTCAAACTAACGACATTTACAGTAAATATTATCAAATATTATCATTATAACTAAACACATTTACACATTTATAACTAAACACATAAATTTAAAACACATTTTAGCAATTTAAAATAAAAATGTTAATTATTAAATAACAATTACATGATACATTGAAAACATAAACACATTTTATTCAAATTTTTCTGCAATTTTTTTTTTTTTTTTTTTTTTGCTATTTTCCCGAAATACACAGCTACCTGTTTTTGGCTAAAGGAACATCAGAGAATTAAAAAGACTCAGCTTTCTGCAGACTCGGCAATAGCAACTCTCTTGGCAACGAATTCCCATGTTGTTTTCTTTCGAAAACTTTCGGCAAAATTCTGTATTCCTTCAGAAATATTACAGCAGTTTCTTCCATTGAAGGCAAATTTCACAAACTCGTATTTTGAAACCAAGGCAAAAATATCACGATTTGTTTTTAAAAACAGTTGGAACTTGGAATACAAAAAAAAAAAAAAAAAAGAATACACAGGAAAATGGCGGCGATGCATGGTTGTCGGAAGAATGGTTATGTGCATAATTGTCAGAGTTTTTCGCATTCTGAAATTTGGCGCTATTCACTAAGGTGGTTGCGTTCATACCCAAGTACCGTTTAAATTAGATATTTTATCTTTAGCTTCCATCATGAAACTCCAAATTACTTTAGCAAAAATAATAGCAACTAAAATAGAAACTAGAAAAAATATCTATTCGTACCCTAAGTTAAGTCCAAATGGCCTGCTTGTTTCATTCACTGTATAAACATCTTCTGCTCCTTTCTCAATAGATATTTTGGTGCATGTGGCCATGGGGTTGAACCTCTTAACAACGTACCAATATCCTGAAAACTAAAAATATACTTCTATTAAAGACATGAATACATAATTAAATATTTTCTTCTCTATTTCTTTCAATTTCTGAAGGTGAGGAAGAAGAATAACTGAAATAAATAAAGGAAAGATGTAACAAAACAGTGTACAAAGTAAACAGACTACGGCATCCAGTTGTAAGAGACCCATGTATTTTTAAATTTTAGTCAATGAGGTTAATTTTATTAAAACAATTTGAAGAACATACGGCTGTCTGAAAAGTCTTAAAATCAGTATTAACCAAGAAAGACTTCACTTGCTTAATATTTAATATTTTTATTCGATTTTGTATTTAAGAAATTTAAAATATTGAGTAAATTCTACCATCTCTTGTGGGTGCCCAAAGCTTTCTTTTTCTAACTGGCATCAAAGTACTGAATAATTAAAACTTAAGTCATCGTCTATTGCTTATGAATTGCATACGCAGAAATCCTGCATAATATTGCGTGTTTTGTAACAATTAACGATCCGCTTCAAATATGCATAATAATCTGCACGTTAATGGTACCAGCTGGCCAATGGTAACCATGCAAAGATAATCTAAAAGGAAATTCATAAAATGGGAAGTGCTTTAAGAGTAAATATAGTTCCATATATTTGAGGATACTAACTGCATAATCTTTACTCATAGACGTTAGGCTTGTAAGTCAAATGGAACGCAAAATCGATTGCTATAAGTTATTCATTTTCCAAAAAAAGGAACAAATGTGTGTTTATATCGACCAATTAGAGTTATCTTTTTCTTCGCCATCTTTGCACAAATCCCTTGACATCTCAAAATGATTAATGGACACTATTTGGCTGTCATGGACACTTTTAACTGCTTTAATACTTATAGTACTCAATTCTTTATGTTTCAGATGGACATTTGCTCAAATGCTTTATTTTAGTTTTGAATATTGCTATATCTAACGAATGCGCGGTTTTCATTTTTAACAATTAAGGATAAAGTTAAGCTCTGATACTTTACCCTTGTATGACCACATAATGTCTTGATTTCGGAGTGTAGCTTTAGATAGTTGCTGAATCCGGACAATACTCGATTAGTCTATGCAAGCCACCCTGGTGTCCGGACCTGATCTTACCTGTCACCTGTACGTACAGGCAAAATAAAGGGCTCTCTCTTCCACAACGAATTGTAAAATGAATTTAAAAGAAATTCAAAAGACATTTTTTTCACGATGTCTGTACGTACGTGCGTATGAATCTCGCATAACTCAAAAATGAGTACCCGTAGAACGTTGAAATTTTGTATTTGGAACTGTTATAGCATGCAGTTGTGCAGCTCCCCTTTTCGTTGCAATCGGCTGCAAGATATTCCCAACCTGTTACCCGGTTCTGTGAGCTCAGAATTTTTCTTCTTATATGCTGTGCATTTTTTTACTTTTAAAAGTGGTTGAGTTGCGTTGTTCTTATGAAAGTCTTCGTGATTTTACTTAATCTGCATGCAACAGCTGTAGAATTATCAACAATTTAAAAGTTTAAGTGGCGTTAGGCCTAATGAGGCTACCATTTTTTTACACTTGAAATTCTTACTACAATAGCGAATTAAGTCCGTTTCCGCAGTTGGTGCATCAAATTCCGTGTCTTTTTGGTAGTGGAACCGAAAATTATTTCTGTCTGCTCGCTGCCTGAATTGCTTGATTTTGTGTACAAACTCTAAATTTCATTGCAAAAATTGTTTTTTTTTAACTGCTTTTGACTGCATTTGGTATTTTAGGTTTTTCTGTATTTTACAATATTTAATTAAGGTGGTTTCAGTTTTTATGTATTTTTGCCTTGCCGCAGAGTAAGAACTGAATTGACTAACTCTTTGCGGCACAGAGTGTCCAGTGTGGACACAACTAAAATTTTCCTTCTGTACGCACAGAAAAATTGAATGAAAAAGGATTTATAGGTTACTCCTAACCTTCTTTATTTATAGTAGATGGCAGCTCAACACAAACCAGTCCATATATTTTAGCCATGTTTTGTTTTTAAAGACCCTCATTTTTCAAAGCAATCTTCCAGATTTTTTTACGGTATAAAAGGAATTGTTTGAAAAGAATTTTCTATGTTATTTTTTGGCTGTATGCTAATCTCCTAATTCTATATTAGTTTTAAATTTTTACTTTGAAATCTTGCCTAAAATCAAACGGCGAACCCTAGGTGTGCCCAGACCGGGCTCACCGATAATCTAGGAAAACTGAGAGTCTGTATTCTTTGTTTCTCCGCATCTCATCGGTTAGTTCATTGACAACAATGCTCGTTTCAGCACTAATTTCGAAGCTCTATTCAGTCAGTGTGCCACTTTGGGCACACCCACAGAATTAAACGATAAGTACTATCTTCACAAAATTTTACTTGTGTACTCCAGAGGCCTAATTAGACTGCCTACCTTTTTTTTTTTAATCAGAACTCGGACATTAAAAGGTAGCGTGCCTGAGGAAAGGGTTAAAGGAGAAATATCTGTAATGAAATTCGAAAAAATTAGTTTAAATGAAGTGAGGCAAAAAATGTGTGTAATTTAATAGGCCGTACAAAAAAGTCATTAGTGTCTATATCACATACTTTATTACGTAGAAAACTAACCTCTTTCACACTGGAATTAACCAACTATTTTTTATTGTTGTTTCCGAGACTAACAGCCCATTCGGAAATAACGTCTTTTTTAGACTAAAATAAAGTCAAATATTTACTGATATTTTTTCTTACTATGCAGCCAATTTAATTTCAGTTTTATCTTTAACTTTGTTACATATTTTATTAAACAGAGTGAGAGCTATATATCTAAAACTACTTTTTAGGGTATCATTCCGTTTTCAGGATCGTAAAAAAATTGCAGCGAAAATGTATGCGCAAAAGCGCCCATTTAACAGTGCGCCAAATCTAGCGTACGCATTGATTTCAGATTGCGTAAGTTTATATAAGTTTATATAGTTCTATATTTCTTAAGACGCCATTGAAATAATAGTTTAATATTTAAATCCTTTTTTGATATCCTAAGGATTTAACAATTTGGGAATTGCCCATGAAGAAAAGTCTGCAATAGAATTTTAGTTAAAATGCAGAATCGCCTACTTCTTGACGCGTTTTTAAGATTTGCACATACTTGGCATCCATGCACATATCGGCCCACCGGTAAAGTCGCTGAACACTGGTAGTTCGGTCCGAAGTTCGAATCCCGCGAACGGGCTGCCTACATGGGTGTTTTCGTGGTTTTCCCCATGTGAAACATGTATACGAGCCAGTTTCCCTTCGAAAGTCCTCCACGAAGGCATCCCTCCTTTAGGCAGATAGCCCTAGTGTTCTTTGCCATAATTAAATACACCACCATGTACACATCGACCTATTTTCACCTAAAAAATCCCAGAATTGCACATAAATGGCACTGCGCACACCCTTGACTTTATCTATGAACACATCGACCTATTTTCACTTAAAAAGTAAAAGAAACTTGACAAAGATCCAATTGTTTTTACCCTTGTACAAAGCGGCAAACAAATAAGTGGGCGATTCTACCCTTTACCGAGAATTTTCTCATAGAAAAGGCATCATTCATTATAGAAAATTATGTTTGAACAACCAACGAGATGAAATTAGCGATAACTGGTAGCGAAATAGCGATGCAGGCATCCATTCAGTTATGTTTAGCAATTTTTATATAAATTATAATAATGATTTGAAATAGTTATTTCTCTTATGGTTCCATTCAGTCACGTTTAGCCTTTTTTATATAAATTGGAATAATAAAAAAAGCATTATATGAAATTAACTTTTCATCTAAATTAAAACATCAATCTTAGATAGCTATTTACTATTATACTTCCTTTCTTGCGTTAGGGTTGCCGCAATTATTTTTGGCAGCACTGGCATCAACAATAGTTCGGCGATTTTTTACGGCCCTCAAAAGCGAATGCTACCCTTTTTAGTTCTTAATGCAGAGAATTTCATATGTTAAAATTATTTATCTTTGCTCCCTTATCTCATAATCAAACTGTAATAAAATTTACCTTTTTCTACTCTTACCTGACATACTTCGACTGTTTTAAATAAATTTTTGAATTTATTATTTTGGCAAGTAGAATAAAATAATTCGCTAAGGAAAAAAAAAATATTCTTCACAGGCCAACGTTAAATAACATTCCTATATTGAAATCTCGAATATTAAGTGATTTCAATCGATAAATTATTTCTCCTTGCGGAGTAAAGCTTACGAAACACCCGAGCGCGGTACTCGATGAATGGAATCAAAAACAAAACTGATTTCTTCAATATGATTGGAGGAGAAAAAGTAATTGAATTCATATCTTAGAAGCATAAAAAAGGCAAACATCCATTTTTCATGGCCTCGAGATTTTGGTTAAGGAAAATGTTTGCTGAGATATTCCATTTTCCAGTTAGTTTATTTAAAGTAGGAAAGTTATCAAGCTCGTGCGTTAATGCTTATCACCATATTTATTTCATAACGTATTTCAAAGCGATAACATACGTAAATGATTATTTCTTAAATGTTCATTCGGTAGTCAGTATTAAAGTTGCTTAATATGTTTATTTTTTTACATTTGATTAGTTATTTAAAGTCTTTTTTATTCAAACGAAGTATCATCATTTTATTAGTCCAAAGGGACTTGAGTCCCGAAGGACTATTAGTTTCGTTTTGGCATTTTGCGTCGGACGGATAAATGTCGGTTCACTTTTCAAACTGTTGCCATAAAAAGTTAGAGTCCTGCATTATATTGAAGAAATTAAATAATGAAAATCTGCGTAATGTATGTATATTTCTCACATTGTCATAAAATACGGTACATAGAGTCATCGAATTTTGAATAACGTAATCCTCCAACGAATATGGCATTGGAAGACCAAATTTGAAATTTGAAATTGTTTTATGATCGATTTCCTATTTTTTTAAAACTTTGACGAATTTTTGATTAACAAACTCAAGGATTCAAAGCGAGCAATGGCAACGTTGTGCAGAAAAAACATTTTTATCTCCA